CTGGGTTTGAGGAACTCTGATTCAGGGTGACCCTGGTTTCCTACTGACCCCCTGACTCCACTGTCCGCTGCCTCGGCTCCTGCTGCTGGCTGTGGACTGTGATGGTGGGAGCAGGAAGTCCCCCGGGTGGAGCAGCTCGCCTGCCTGGTGGATAGAACGTTGTCTTGTCTTTGCGGTTCTGGTAGAGGAAGTAGCGAGGTGAGGCAGCGAGTCCAGGTGGAGGTTGACCAGACTGATTGACCCCTCTCCCTCCTGCTCCTGCGCCATCAGCGCTAAGGAGGCCAGCAGCTTCTAAGCTCCTGGAAAGTTCCACAAGCCTCTGTCTTCTGTGTCCCTCACCTTCCACCTGGATCTGTGTGGAATGCCCAACCGATTCCCTTCCCGCTCTCAGACCCGAGGCTGGCTTTTAAAATGCGTCCTGGCCGCTCCTTTCCCGACCATTCTGATACTAGTTTTATTATATCAACACCATCTTCAGATGAGCAAAAACCAGAAAACACATGTGTTAATTTGTGTACATTAGAGAAACAAATCCACAGAAACTCATAGGTACATAAGAGAGAGTTTTATATAAAGGGTAAGTGTACGTTAAGAAAGCGTCCCACCCAGTGCTGTCCTAGCCCATAAGTCCAACATTAGCCCATACATCCGACACTGATCTACAAAGTCCTCCATCTCACAAAACACACACAGTGACGCTGACTGCAGGAGGAAAGCCGAATTAGTGAGTGTGTAAGCATCTCAGCGCTGGCAGGGGTCCCCACACGGCTGCTCCAGCACCCAGCGCTGCATCAGGGTAGGTCCATGCCTGAGGAGAAGCCACTCCTTGCAGGAAGTGAGCCTTGCCAGCTGAAGCATGGAACTGGCTAAGGCAGCTGCCCCCTGGTCTAACCATCAGAGAGTAAGAGACCCGAGAACTAGAAAGGCGAGGCTCACCAAGCCATTTATCTCTCCACCCTTCAATGAATCCCACGTGCATTAATCGGCCAGGTTGGCACAATAAACCTTAACCATCTCAACAAACGAGCCTAAAGGAAGTGATAAAAATGGTCAATAATTGCATCCCTCAGAGTTAACATCCTGACGTATAAGCTCCGGACTTTTCTTTGGGACCTTTTAGTGCCTTCCCACGAGACTGTGTCACCTGTCCGCTCTGCCACCTGTGTCCGCCACCTCCTGTTTCCCGGGTGGCTCTCCATGTCTGTCAGTCAGGGGCGGATTATCCACCGAGCACGGAAAGCACGTGCTTAGGGCATCCCAGCAGCAGGACGGGGCACCCATCGTGCAGGGCAACGGCCAGTATAGAGCCCAAGCAGCGAAGGACAAGGAAACGAGCACCGGAAGGAGGACGCTGAAGGACATTTCTAGCAGCTCCAGCGTGAGACTGCTGGTCGGCAATACAATTCACACAGGGTCCCAAGGGCACCCCCGGGCAAGGTTGTCAGCACCTCCCCTGACATCTGTTTCCCATGGCCCTCTCCCATGTCATTGAAACTCCTTCTCTGGGCAGGTCTCTTTCTAATGAGCAGGAGGTGGGAGTGGAAGGGCCTTGTGTAATTCTGGGTACTTTCACCCAATCTACAACTCAAAGCCCACCCAATGTGCAATCCCGCAGGTACTCAGCAGGGGCACATTATATTCATGGGGGCCGGTCTCTGATCCGTTTTGATAACCCCCTCTTGGACATCCGTATCTGCTGCTCCGTATCTGCTGCTCGGTGCAGCATCTCCACCCGGGCCAACCAGCGGGGCTCTTTGCCACGACACCCACACAGGTTGTCTCAGTGGATGCACGTGTCTCAGGGGATGTCCACAAGGAACCCGGTTCCTCTGTAAAAGTGAGGGAACTCAAACAAGTCAATTAGTTCAATGAATTAGTCAAGTTGCTTTTCAACTGTAAAGCAATTATGTATAGGATTATGCTACAAATTCTATAAAAAATACTATTTATAATAGTAATAACATATTAACATGGCAAACACCCCCCAGTACTGGAAATATTATTATTTATCAACACACAAAGTTTCACTTGAAGTGAGTTTTGTGTTTTGTTTTTTTACTTCATGTACCGTGGTGCGTGATATGACTCTGTATGATCAGGTATTGGGCACATGAAGAGGATGCTAAATTCAGTATGTTTATCGAGCAAAACATGTTTCTTTTTTGCAGCAATGAGTACGCTTCTAAACTTGACTTCAAAAAAAGCAACAAAGGGCTTTTTATGCAAACAGTGGCATTATATCAGAATATCTACCTATCTCTGCAAAAGAAAATTGAACAATTCCTCAAGGAAATAAATGAAATGCGTAGCTAATAAAGATTTTATAAATGTATTTATTTTCCACTTCCATTCAGACTGCCTTTAAAAAAGATAATCTCTGTACCTTGTTATCACTACCGAAGCAAACTTGGGTGGTAGAGAGGCGGTCCTATTGTCAGATCCCTTATGGACCTCTTGTGGGGGGTGCTTTGAGCAGTTCCACAGAGAACCAGAATGCGCATCTTAGGCTCCTTGTGTTTGGTCACAGTGTTGCATTTCTTTAGGGCTGGGTGGGGGATACCTTCACCTTCTGTGTTCTCCTGCTGACCACCCACCCAACGTGCCAGAGGCCCGGGACCCACGCACGAGACGGGAGGGATCCAGTCCTGCGAGGAATGAGCCAAACCCATCTTCAGCCTGAGCATGCCCTGTGCTTGTCTTTTGCTCTTTGTAATTGCTCTCCGCCCCGTTGGGTGCCAGCAAACCACACTGCCCTGTGAAGAGGTGGCATCAGAGGACGGAAAGTGCATGTGCAAGTTTTAAAGACTTATTTTAAGGCGAAAACCACTTGTGGAGCTTTGTTAGGCCCGCCAAGAGACACTGCTGCACGCGAGAGCCCTGTTAGTGCGGTTACTTTAGATGATCTCCACCCCAAGACAAAATGACATTCTAAAATCACAAAAATTTTAATTACAGATTTTCATACGTAAATTTTATATTAATGCCTGTATTAGTCTAGGTACTTTAGAGAAACAAATCCACAGCAACTCATGTATAAGAGTTTTATGTAAAGAAAATGTGCATCACAAAAACATCCCAACCCAATGCTGCCCAAGCCCACAAGTCCAACATTAACCCATTAACCCAACACCAGTCCACAAAGTCCTCCACTTCACAAAACAGGCAATGATGCCGACTGCAGGAGGAAAGCTGAGTCAGTGAACGAACAAGCATCTCAGCACTAGCAGGGGTCTCCACACAGCTGCTCCAGCACCCAGGGCTGCACCGGGATAGGTCCATGTGGCTTCTCCTTGGGGATGTCTTGTAGGAAGTCAGTCTTGCAAGCTGAAGCAGGGAACTGCTAAGGCAGCTGCACCCGGGGCAAACAACAAAAAACAAAAAAACCCAAAAACAAGAAAGGCGAGGCTCACCACCCATTTATCCCTCCGCCTTTCAATTAGCCCCACATGTGATTATCGGCCAGGCGGGCACAATTAACTAACTCAATGCCCACATTTACTTTCAGTCATTCAAACGTATTTGCTATGGTAAAGCTTAATTTAGAAGATGGCATGATTTTATGTGGAGATAAGACAAAATGGCAGTAACTCAGGGGAGCATACAAGGAACGCTGCCCGAAAATGTAGGGAAAAGGATTTGCGAATCCCCAAAGACAGTCGTAAAATTAACTTCCTTCTTAAGATATAAAAGAATTCAGAAGAGACTTCCGTCGAACACGCACGTTTAAAGGGCCTGAATCATTATACTAGTGCTATTCCTAAGGTTACTGCAAGCAGTACAGGTAAAACAATGTGGTCCCTAGCTGTTCCTCGCCGTCATGAAGAAATCAATAATGGCGCAGAAAATGAAGCTACTTTAGAATCTGAAATTGTCAGATCCCACACATCTGTTGACCCCCACAAATAACAGAAAATACAGATCCTGGTTTGTGGAATGTTTTCTAATGATTTAAAGTACTAGATAAAAAAACGGGCCAAGTGATTGTCAACATCACAGCGAGCCATTTGATAAAATTTCTGGCAGGTAAACAGGTTCTGTCCCCAGAATTTATTTCAAGGGTACAAAGCTATTAGTAAAAATTACAGGAAGGGGTCAGCTCTCTATATTTTGCTTGCAAATCATTTGGTACTGAATGATTTCCTTTTTGATTTGCTATGGATGGATTTAGCAGTGGGCACCTTCCAGTTAGGATTGGTGAGCGTGAAAACAGTTCAGTGTCAGAGCTTGTATGTTGTCATGTTTAAACCAGAGACCTGGTTTTGACCGGGAAACGCTAATTGTAAGGAAAACATCACCATTGATTGGAAAGCCATTCAGCAACGCATTGTTGCTCTTGTGATGACCGGTACTGAAAATGTCCACGTCAACTTGAGGGAGAAGTTCAGGGTTTGGGTCTCCACAAAATGGACATTTTGGGGTTTACTTGAACTTATTTCTCAGCTTGATCCATTTTTAATGGGCCTCAGCTCAAAATATGGTGACACAGGAACAGGACAACCCGTCGTGTATGTCTGAATGTATGAAGATTAACGAACATTAATGAGTGATTTTGATCGCCTCTTTTAAGTGAAATAACTTGATATTTCAGTTTGTTAGCCCCGTCTGATCATTCTGAAACAAGACAGTGGAGGGGCATTGTAAGATGCGCACCGTCAATAGCTAGAAAGCCCGTCGAGTGGTTTATCACATTTATTAACTTACAAAGTCACACCAGTGAAGAGATTACACAAGTCAAAGACTTCGCCACTTATGGAATATTTGCCACATTGGTTTCCCTAAACGCAGAGCCAGCCCAATGGCAGTGTTGCGAATCTGCCATCAAGGCACATAACCGAGCATCTTAGGATGCCATGAATGTACCATTTTCATACTGTGCACGGCAGTGGTAGGTGGGGGTCCAGAGTCGGTGAGGGAGGGTGAGCGAGGCCTCCTCTGGTGGTGGCATCTTCTAAGGGCTTCCTCTGACCACCCCCTTCACCACTCGCCCTCTCTCCCCACAGGTCTTGGGTGCTGAGGCTGCCCGCAGACTATGGGTACAACGGCCAGCACAGCCCAGCAGACGGTCTCGGCGGGCACTCCCTTCGAGGGCCTGCAGGGTGGGGACGCGATGGATGGGCGGCACTCGCTGAGCGTCCACTCCTTCCAGAACACGAGCTTGCCCAACAGCAAGGCCAAGTCCATCATCCCCAACAAGGTGGCGCCTGTTGTGATCACGTGAGTGGGGAGTGGGGAGCGGGCCAGGCCTTGGGGTCTGGTCCCCTGGAAGGCAGGTTGGGGCAGTGCGGCATACAGCAGCTCCTATGGTTTCACTTTCCCAGATGAAGAAACAGAGACCCCAGAGCTTAAGCCCAGAGCAACGGGCTGACCAGAGCTGGTGGGGTCTCTGTCCCCAGAGCCAGGGCGTGTGGAGAAGGAGCAGTGGGCTAGAGGAGGCCCTTGGTGAAAAGACTCTCTGGGTGAACATTTGAAAAGAAAATCTGTATGTTTAGATGTATCACATGTTGATGAGTCATGGCTGGTGGCAGATCAATTCTTGGCAGTTCTCAGGGGGAATGTGGAGAGGACATGGGGCCAGGATTGGGACAGGCATCCTACGTCAGGTGGGAAAAGTACCACATTGGCTGGGCGAGTGGTAGAGGGCCCACTGTCAAACACACCCTGCCTGAGGGCAGGGCTTTCCACGTTGCCCCGCAGTCACTGGTCAGAGAGAACTCAATGGAGTCTAAATCTGTGTGGAAACTCAAAACTGGATTGAGGGTTCCCGCTGTAAACCGTAGTCCCAGTAAACTTAGTGTTCAGGATTGAAGCTGCCACACAGCCCTTCAGGGAGGGTCCTCCCCAGGGAGGAGGCTCAGGGTTGGTTCAGGCAGCACATTTCCAGAGAGGCCTGGACACTCTGGGTGTCTGTCTCGAGGAAGTGGGCCAGGGAGTGGGCCCGGAAATCACACTGAGGGCTTGGGAAGAGCAGTGCTGGACAGGAAGACAACAGGGATATTGGGTACCCGTCTCCTGGGGAGCCGGGAGCCTTGTGAGTGACATCACATCTGCGGGCAGTGCTCCCCCTCCACCCCCCCCTCTGGGCCCTTCCAGGACAGCAGGAAGCAGGACACTGAGCTCAGAGTGGAATGTGTTCCCCACATAGAAGCTTGGCAGGGAGACCCCGCCGTGACAGGAAAGTGGTAACCAGTAGGAGTGACTGAGGTCAGGGACGGAAGAGGTACACACGAGAGGCTGAGATGTGGTCGCTGTAGTGGGACACATTAGTTAAATAAGTGTTCAGACGTTGGACAAAAGGTGGACCCAATCCATGCAGCAGCTCCACGGGAGAAAGACCTGGCTCTTGCTCCCACAGAGGTTACAACCCAGAAAATTCCAAGGGGCAGTTCTACTTGCTGGGAGTTGAAATCAGCTTGGACAGCACCCAATAATCGCAATGGCAGACGAGCAAACCAGGCTTGGGAATCGGGAGAGTGTTGGGGGACACGGGGAGTGGGCCTGGCTCTGCCTCTGACTTGCTTTGCGCCCTGGGGTGGGTAAGTCTTCCCCTCCCTGGGCCACGGTTTCCTTATCAGCACCATGAGGGATGCCATCAGAAGTTCATCACCGAGTGGTGCTGCTCACGGGAGGTCCGGCGGCACTGCGGGTAAGGCACCAGACTGCACGCCCCAAAGCCAGGGGATCAGACCTGTTCACTCCACCATGGGAGAACGACGTGGCAGTCTGTTTCCGTAGAGAATGGGGTCTCAGGACCTCTGGGCGCTGTTCTGCTCTGAGGGACTCCAAATCAGACTCGCCCCATGACCGTGAGGTTGGGTTCACGTTTTTGTGCGGCTGCTGACAGACCATCGCTGACCGCCTACAAACACGCGCTGCATCCCTCCCGGAGTCCGCTGGGAGTGCAGGCCGCCTTGGGCTGTAGTGTTTCAGGCAGGAGAGACTGTAGACCAGTGGTTCTCAACCTTTCCAATGCCGCGACCCTTTCATACAGGTCCTCATGTTGTGGTGACCCCCCCCACCCTAAAATTATTTTCGTTGCTACTTTATCACTGTTTGCTCCTGTTAGGAATTGATCGACCCTGTGTAAGGGTTGTTCGACCCCCAAAACACAGGTCGAGAACCGCTGCTCTAGGTGAGCCCCAACCTGCGACCTCGGGGTTAGCAGTTGCGCATGGTCACCATTTGCGCCCCTACTGAGTTCAGAGAGGATCATAGAACGCATCTGTGTAGCAGTTGGCGGATAGCCGCCTGACTTGGTCCTCAGCCTGTTTTTCCATCGTTGTAGTTAGGTGTCCTCGAGCTGGTTCCAGCCCATAGCTACCTTGCGCACAACAGAACGACGCCCTGCCCAGCCCTGCACCATTCTCAGACACCCTTCCTGGGCTTGAGCCCGTTGCTGCAGCCACGGCGCTCATCCGTTTCCCGAGGGTCTGCTGCTGCTTCTTGCCCCTTCCCTTTCCCAAACATGATGTCCTGCGGCAGGAGCTGGGCTCCCCGGACTACATGCCCCAAGTCTGGAAGCTGGAGTCTCGGCACCCTGGCCTCTAAGCAGCGCTCTGGCCAGTCTTCTTCCAAGACAGATTTGCTTGTCCGTTTAGCAGTCCGTGGTACTTTCAGTGTCCAGACATGTGTTTTTTTTTCATACATGCATTTTTTGTAGATGAAGTTTCATTGGAACATACATGAACTCCTGGTCATCGACACATGGTCTCTGGTGGCCTAGTGCTTGCAGGGGGAGCTGAGTCATTTTGACAGCCATATGGCCCACAGAGTCTAAAACATCGACTGGGCTGTCCTTTATAGAAAAGGCGGGCTGGCCCATGGTCTGATGCAGTGCCCTCATCGCGCACCTTCAATCGCCGAGCTTTGTGGCGGTTGAGGGGGGTTTACCTCAGGTCACGCCGTGAGTGACGGCAGAGGAGCGAGCTGGAAGGAGGCCGTTTTTGAGATCTGTTTTGGCTGAACATTTTCGGAGGAAGTTTATGTACTTAGAAACCAGTCTCAAAGGCCCTCTTTTCGTAAAGATGATCAAACAGCTCATCAGCTCTGAGCCATGTGTCGCAGTCACTGTTGCCGTGACACTGTTACACTGTTGCCATGACACTGTTACACCGTTGCCGTGACACTGTTGCCGTGACACTGTGACACTGTTGCCATGACACTGTTACACCGTTGCCGTGACACTGTTACCATGACACTATGACACTGTTGCCGTGACACTGTGACACTGTTGCCGTGACACTGTGACACCGTTACTGTGACACTGTGACACCGCTGCCGTGACATTGTGACACCGTTACCGTGACACTGTTGCCGTGACACTGTTACACCGTTACCGTGACACTGACACCATTGCCGTGACACTGTTACACTGTTACCATGACACCGTTACACTGTTGCCACGACACTGTTACACTGTTGCTGTGACACTGTTACACTGTTGCTGTGACACTGTTACACCGTTGCCACGACACTGTTACACTGTTGCCGTGACACTGTTACACCGTTGCCGTGACACTGTGACACTGTTGCCGTGAGCCCTGCAGCTTCTGTGTCTTGAGTGCACACTGAGGCTTAATCCAGTGTTTGAACCTCCTTCTGCTTTAGCATCTCCTGAAATCCCAGTTTTATTTCAGCCGGCTTCTTTGAAATGGCCCTGTGCGGTGGAAAAGGTGCTATTAGGAATCGTAGTTGTATTGATAAAGACTCACTGGACCCCAGCACTGGGCTAGGCCTTCTTTACACCTATGACCACAGTTAACGCTTCAGACAGCCTCGGAGATAGGTGTGAGAGGGACCGAGGCGCAGAGAGGTTAGCGTTTCGGAAACCCACAGGGACAGCTCTACTCGGTCGCCGGGAGTCAGCATCGACCGGAAGGCAGCGGCTTTGGAGTTCATAGGTTGAGCTGCTGTAACAAGTAACCCTCCAGTGAACCGTTTGCCGTCAGATCTCCGCTGACTCCTGACGACCATGTGTGTTGCGGTAGAGCTGTACCCCACAGCACTGCCACTGGCTGCACTCTTTGGGGAATTAGATCGTGAGGCTCTGCCACCGGGTGGACCTGAACCCCCAGTAGAGCGTCTGACACAGGACTGGGGTTGATTGTCTTTCTCACGTGAAAATCTAGGAGGCAGGCCAGAGGCTGCTATGGCTGCTCCGTGGTCACCAGGGACCCTGCTGCTGCTGCTTGTCCCATTGTTACCAACATGTGGCTTTCATGTTGTGTGTGGGCTCAGATAGCTGCTCGGCATCCCATCGTGACTTCCAGATGTTAATTAGGGAGGGGATGAATACGAGATACGGAGTGTGCACTTTCCTCTTTAGGGACTGGTCTAGAAGTTGTGGCTAGCACTCTCTCTCCTCCTGTCCCCCTGGCCAGAGCTTCAGTAATACGATGGCATCTGACTGCAAAGGAGTCTGACTTGTAGTTCCCAGCGGGCTAGTAGCCACTCACAGTGTGGTGGATCCACTGGAAAGGAGTGGCATTCTGATTAAGTGCTTGGCCACTAACTGAAAGGCCAGCAGTGTGAACAGGCCCGCTTCTCCACGGGAGGAAGAGGCGGCCGTCTGCTTCTGTAGATTACAGCCTTGGAAGCCCCTTGAGTCGTGGAACCAGCAAGAATTGGTTGACAACCATTTCAAGACATAGCGTGTGATCAAGAGCTGGTGGTGTATTGAAGGAAGATACCCAGGCTGCACTGAAGGCATTGTTTAAAAAATGAAAATGTTTAAAAAAACACCCCAATACCATGCTAGAAGCACTCACAGAGAAACTGGAACGATAGCTACATTGGCCCATACGAACCTCGACATTCAACCATTACAAGAGGCAGCATAGGATCCAACCCAGGAGCACTGAAGGCATTAGCCAAACACAAGGCTTCAGGGGCCGTGGAAGGCCAATGGGAATGTTGACAAGCACTGGACGCAATCACTCATCTGTGCTGAGAGATTTGGAAGACAGCCACCTGGCCAGCTGACTAGACGAGGTACATATTTGTGCCCGTTCCAAAGAAAGGTGACCCAACAGAATGCTCAACTATAGAGCAGTATCATTAATAGATGCAAATAAACTTTTGCTGAATCTAATTTTAAGTAATAATTGTGGTAGTACATTGACAAGAAGCTGCCGGAGATTCAAGCCAGATGCAGAAGAGGATGTGGCCCAAGACACATCATTTCTGGTGTTAGATGGATCTTGGCTGAACGCAGAACATGCCAGGGTGATGCTCATTTGAGTTTGACTAAGCAAAGGCATTGTGCTGTGTGGGGCACAGCACACAGCGTCACATTGGGACAAATGGGAATTCCAAAGCACTTCATTGTACCCGTGGGAAACCTGTACACAGATCAAGAACCCGTCCTTCCAACACAAAGGGGAGATGCTTATCAGAGTTGTATCATTTCACCATGTTCATTCGGTCTGTGTGCTGAAAAGACCCCCAAAGGAGGACACTGAAGGAGAGTGTGGCGTCGCATTAACAATTGGCGAGAGGCAGATGACACCGCTTTGCTTTCTGGAAGCCAAGAGGACTTGAAGCATTTCCTGACGGCGATCAAAGACCAGCTTTCAGTATGGAGAACAGTTCAGTGTTAAGGAAGCAAAGATCCTCATAACTAAACCGGTAAAGAACATCGTGATAAAAGATTGACGTCAAGGATTTCATTTTACTGAGACCTACAATCAATGCTCATGGAAGCAGCGGTCAGGAGATCAAATGATTTATTGCCCTGGGCACATCTGCTACAAAGACCTCTTTAAAGTATTAGAGCACAAAGAGGTTCACTTTGAGGATGAAGGTATGTGTGGCAGTTACACAATCTTTTGTCAACCTGTGAAGGGAAGAAGTCCAGCCTGTCCATCGGGTCGCAGCTTGATGACCTCGTTTGGAGGCACCCCTGCATAAATAGCTCACTGGAGGCCAGATTCACTCCCTCCCTCCCTCCCTGCGAGACATTACTGACAATGAACCTGATGGAGCTGTGCTGATGTAGTCAGAGCCCTGGGAGATGGAGGAGCCACATGGAGACCAACCCCCATGCTGAGATGCTTCTACCGCCACTGGATCCACAACACTTTCCACCCAGTGGCCTGTGATATTCCTGCATTCGGCATCATTGCATATGTTATGTGAGTCTGAGGAGGAATTTATAGATTGGTATGGGACATATGGGCTAATGTTGGACTTAAGGACTTGATCTGGACTGGGCTGTTTTCTCAATATTCAATTGCTCTTGTATATAACCTCTTTCTTATTCACATATGAGTCTCTATGAATTTGTTTCTCTAGTCCACCCAGACTGACACAGTATGCCTGACTCAAGCCAAGGTGTTTTCAGTTGCCTTAGATGCATGTGAAAACTGGATAAGGAACAAAGAAGACTGGCAAAGAAATGATGCATTTATTTGAATTGGCAAAGAGTTGGCAAAGAGTATTGAAATCACCACAGACTGCCAAAAAACCCAAACCAAACAAAAATGGTTTTTTCGAAGAAGCACAGTCAGAAATGCTGCGTAGAAGCAAGAATGTTTTGAGCATGTGTCTTATGTACTCTGGGCATGTTATCAGAGAGACCACCCCTGCGAAAAGCCATCATGCTTGGTAGATGAGAGGGTCAATGAAAACAGGAAAACCCCAGGGAGATGGGCGACCCGTGGCTGCCACCGTGGGCCAAATACGGCGGGGATGGTGAGGATGGCGCGGGCCTGGGCAGTGTTTTGTTCTGTGGAGCGTGGGGGTGATGGGAGTTAGAAGAGACTCCAGGGCACCTGACAGGCAGCCCCACCAAGGGCTCCATGAGTTGGAATGTACTTGATGGCAATGATTTGGGCTTTTCTGATTCCTCAGGAGGGAGAGAGTCGACTGGGTATTGGTAAACAGTGGGCAGCCTCTGCTGCAAATGGCCCGAGGCATGGTGGGGTGCCGTCTCTGTGATAGACGGAGACCTGGCCGTGGGACCTCCCTGACTGGGCCTCTGTCTGCCGGCCCCCGTGCAGGTACAACTGCAAGGAGGAGTTCCAGGTCCACGAGGAGCCCCTGAAGGCCCATTACACGCTGGGCCGGCTCTCAGACGCCACCCCGGAGCACTACCTGGTGCAGGTGAGGTCCAGCCCTGCCTCCAGTTCCCTGCACCCCTCCGGTGCTCTCCCTCCTGCTTTCCCCCTTCCCTTCCTCCTGTCTCTCCGGATCACCACCTCACCCCTCTGAAAGGTCCCCCTCCACCTTCGGGGCTCCTCATCCCACTTCCTCTCAGCCCTGCGTTTCTGGGTCTCCTTCTTGCTCCTTTCTCGTCTGCCCGCGGCCCGGCCTCGGCGTGCCCCCACTTCCACTTCAGAACACCTGGGAGCACAGAGCCGGCCTCCCTCCCACCTGTAGCCCCGGGAACCCCAGCCTCTGCTTCCCCCAGCCTCGGTCCGCTTGTCAGAGTTAGCAGATTGTGTTTGTTTGTTTTATCTTAAATGTCCCCAAGAGAGTAAACCTGTGAGGGCAGTGTTTTGGGTTTTTTCACTGTTTACCGTGAACTCGGGGAAGGTTGACAAGCAGATCAGAGTTCTGCATTCAACAGTCCATACACACTCCGACTCGTCCAGTTCCCTCATCCCCTCCTGATCCTGCGTCTTCCTGCTTCCTGCTCCCACCTCTCCCCCTTCCAATCCTGCTGAGCTTCATCGTCCTTGGGGACGTGCTGCCCTTTCCGTCTGAAGTGGTTGCTGATTCGAACACGGAGGTGAGTTCAGTCTGGAGTGACTTCACCCCAGAGGAGGGCAGATGTTTTTCATCTGTCGTGTTTTAGGCTGGAGTCCCAGGACCTGGGGCTGAGATACCGTGTGGGTGCACAAAAGGTAGCCAGTGACCGTGAGGCTCAGTGAGTAGTCATGGCGATGAGCCCATACTTGGGCATCTCTGTTTTCTCCTGGAAGAACGGGTCCCCTGTCCAGCCTGCCAGGCAGTGTAGGTGTGGGTCCCTCTGGGGGAAGCGGGGTGGACGAGATGGTCTTGGGGTTGCCTTTTACCCAGGAGTGGACTCTTTGGGTTCCCTTGGCTCTTGCCCAGCTGTCTGCCCAGCACTTTCCTCTTTGAGGGCCCTTCACCCAAGCTTCACCCTCATCCTCCTAATGGTCCCCGAGGAAAAAGCTGCCAGTTTTCCTGGCTCATTCTTGGCGCCCCAGTTTTGGTTCCCAGTCGGACCCCTTCTACGTGAGCCTCCTCCAGGGAGAGACGTTGGCTCCCCCTCGAGCTGGCTCTGGTTTCCTTCCACTGCAGTAGCCCACTTGGCTCTCTTTCCTGGGGCCGGTGCCTCCATGGGAGACCCGCCTCCTACAAGAAGCCTCCTCTGATTTCCTTAGCAGGGGTTTCCTTTGCTTCCTCGGCGCTCTCTGACAACCTTCCACTGGTCGCAGATGGTCACAATTTTGTCTTGTTTTCTCCATGAGATGGTGTCCACCCCCCTGGCATGGGCCCTGAGGCAGAGCGCAGCCATCTAAATGACGCTGTGGCTCTTCTCCCTGCCAGGGCCGATACTTCCTGGTGCAGGACGTTGCTGAGAAGATGGACGTGCTGGGCACGGTGGGCAGCTGTGGGGCTCCCAACTTCCGGCAAGTTCGGTGTGGGCTTCCTGTGTTTGGCATGGGACAGCCCAGCCTCTTGGGCTTCCAGCGGGTTCTCCAGACACTGCGGAAGGACGGGCACAGGGTAAGCGTGAGCTGTCTCCTGGGCTGGCCACTGCCCATCCTGCCAGCGTTCAGCCTAGGACGGCAGGGTGGTCAGCCTGGCGGGGAAATTCTGGGTGGACGTTGGCAGCGCTGTATTGTGTGGACATGGAGTCCCCATGGGCAGGAAGCTCATACCCCGCCCCCCTCAGCTCCACTGGCCTTGGGGGCGGGGAGGAGGGTGAGCGGAAGAGCCAGGTGTGTGTGTGGGGGGGTGAGACCCCACAGGATGAGCCTGCTTACAGTTTTTAATTGTCACCTGTGTCGAGCCTGCCTTGTCCTCATGCTCCCTGTGTGAGGTAGGAGCAGTCATCCGCCCGTCACAGAGGAGGAGACCGGGGTCCAGAGAAGATAATTAACTTGGGCCGGAGGCCACAGAACTGTGTGGTAGCTCGGTGCCCAGACCCAGCGAGTTGGCCCCTGTGCCACTCGCAGCTGCCCCTTTTCCCAGCTGGGTGCCGAGGCAGGTTTTGTGTGTCCCCAGGCCAGAGGCGGGGGTGAGGGTAGAAGGCTCTTGGTGCAGCCAGCTGGGAGTGGGCGTGTGCCTGGCTCCCCTCTGTCCAGCGAGGTCTTTGAGAGCCAGGTCTGCCCCTTCACCTCCCACGGCTTGGGCACTGTTGGACCAATGAATGGTCGCCCCGTGGCGGCGGCCGGCTTTCATCTCTTCACAGTGGACGCACTGCATCCCGCTAAGAATTAGGGGTATTTTCATCTCTTCACAGTGGACGCACAGCTTCCCGCTAAGAATTAGGGGTACAGTGAACCCTTGTTTATCGCGGTTAATCGGTTCTAGACCTTACCGTGATAAATGAAATTCCGCGAAGTAGGATTCCTTATTTGTAAATCAAATATTTTCGTAGTTAAGAGCATAGAGGACATGAAAAAACACCCTTTAGTCACCATTACACTCGTATTACCCAATTTATTAAACGAAAAAGGGAAAATACAGTAAAACATTTTGGACGTTACAATTATCATTTATTATTTATTATATTATTTATGGCATCAAGCGTGTACAGTATGAGCCAATCAGTGGCAGTAATGACAGAGCATGCGCTGTTACGCAAAAACCGCGACAGAATGAAGCCGCGGACGTCGAAGCACGAAGTGGCGAGGGTTCACTGTATATGCAAGTGAGCCTGCTAGGAGCTCGTCCTTTATGGGACACACCCGTGCGTGCTAGCATGGAGTAGGACCCTGCAGTGGGTGATGGAGAGAGAGGGCCCAGAGGAGGCGGAGCTGCGTGGAGCTCTGCTCCTGGGGGAGGATTCGGAGACTGTGGACGATGGGCCTTGGAGGAAGGCGGACCACCCTTGCAGAGGCTTGGGGGGCGAGCACTGATGACTTCCTTGTCCCCGGGACCCCTTCAGGAGTGCCTCATCCTCTGTGTGCGGGAGGAGCCCGTGCTGTTTCTGCGCACCAGCGAGGACTTCATGCCCTACACGCCGAGGGACAAACGGGACCTGCAGGCGAACCTGCAGGCCCTCGGGCCCGGGCTCCGGGCAGAGAACATGGAGCTGGCCATCCGGAAAGAGGTGAGGGGGGTCTGGCAAGGTGGGCAGGAACCCTGCCTCTCACTTTGGACTTCAGATCCCAACTCCGCTTTGTAGACATGTTCCTGGGGCTAGCCAGGTGGTCCTCACCAGCCCACCAAACCAACAACAAACAAAACCAGACAAACCCAAACGCAGTGCCATTGTCTCAGTTCTGGCTCACGGCAACCCTGCCGGGCAGCGAGGAACTGGTAGACTGGTTTCCAAGCCAGCCCCTGGGCACCCACTTTTCCAACCTGCAGGGTGGGCTCACTGGACAGCCAGGGGTAGCACTTCCTGTTCCCTGCTCCCTTTGCCTCTGCCCCTTTCCCAGCGGAGCACTAGACCCAGCAGAGTCCCAAGACTGAAGTTCATGAAGGGGGTCTGGCTGAGTCGTTCTTTCTGGGCCCCTGTTTTGATACATGTCTGGGAACTTTTCACAGCTTGGCCCCGCGTGTGTGCTGCTATGTTCATGGAAGCATTGGCAGCACATGTAAAGGCACAGCTAGCAGTGTCCCCAGACACACGTGTGCGGAATACACGTCAGGAGGTGTTGCCGCTCGCGCCCATCCAGACGTACGTGGGTCTGTCCGAATAGCGTGTGTGGACGTCTGTGTCGCGATCAGTGGGTGGCCGCCCTCTCTGTCTCACTCAGGGGCTTCACACGCACATAAAGTGTTTTGCTTTTTCCCTTTGTGCCATGAAAGATAAAATTGAGGTCAGCGCTAATGTCAAGTTTGGAAATAAGACTCAAGGGGACATTTCCCCAGGTCATTGGTGTTTTCGCAGCACGTTTGTGGGATTGCTGCCCCCCACGGAGCAGTATGTAGAGGGGAGCGTTTTAAGGAAGGCCCAGCAGACCTCAGCCGTGAGCCAAGACAGGGCAGACGGCCGGCCTCGGTGGAGGAGGGGACTGGCCGCAGCCCAGGGAGTGGTGGAGGGACACTCGAGAAGCGCACGCAGGGGTGCGATGGAGGGGGAGCTGTGTGGTTTGGCTGTTTGGGTTTTCAGCACCCGTCTTGACCTCAGCTAGGTTCTGGCTCCGTGGCAGCACTCCTGGTGGTCAGCTCACTTCAAAGTGAAACGCAAGTGAACCAAGGCAGGCTTATGGACTCATTTGCCCCTGGGGGTTGGACTTGGGTTTGCCAGGGGACGCAGAGAGCAAGGTCCAGTCAGCACAGTGGTTTCTGAGTGGATCTGCTGGGCCAGTTGTATTCTGGGCAGAGAAATCAGCCCAGACGGTAATGGCAATGGTCACTCAGGATCCCAAGAGGGATCTTGGGAGATTTGCTTTAAGGATACAGGACAGCCGTTTGGAGTTGGTTCTACCAGGCCAGGCTGTTCATCTAGCTTTCCATTTAGAGGCTCTGAAAAAAAAAAAGGCCTGATTTTCGTTTTAAAAGGCCTGATTTGTGGCAGACAGGGGGCTGCTTTTGCCACCAGGGCTATGCACCTGCTCACGCAGCCATCTCAGTGCCCCAGTTTGGAGGCACAAAATAGCATGTCTCTCTTGTCCCACACACCTTACTCACCTGACCTTGCTCCGTGCATCCTAACTTCTTTTTGTTTCCGTGAATGAAGAGGGACATGAAAGGACAGCGATTTGATGATGTAGAAGAGGTGAAGGAAAACATGAGGGAGGTGTTGTCAGCCATCCAAACAGATGAGTTTGAGAAGTGTTTCTAAGAATGGAATCGCAGACTTGACAAATGGATTAAGTGTCAGTACTTTGAAGGGATAAGGTTGTCTTGTAAAAAAAATTAAATGCACAGCCCTGACAAAAATGTCTGTTTTTTTTTTAACCTCTGTTGCCCCTGTGTGTGTGTGTGTGTGTGTGTGTGTTCCAGTGCCCCGAATTCTCCTCCAGCCTTCGGCCTAAACCTCAACTCCCCTTCCTGGGAACCTGCAGAGAGAGAGAGAGAGAGAGACAGACAGACCCAGTGTCCTGAGTCTGCCCTCCAGCCTAAACCTTGACTCTCCACCCCGGGAACCTGCAGAGAATGTGTGTGTGTGTGTGTGTGTGTGTGTGTGTCCCCATCTGTCCGTCCCAGTGTCTGAGTCTGCCCTCCAGCCTAAACCTCGACCCCCCCACCCCAGGAACCTGCAGAGGGATGTTTCCTGTCGTGGACACTCGCAGCGGGGGTCCCTGTGCTGTTTGCCGTGTGAAGGGCAGATTTCACGTGTTTCACATGCTCAGCATTACCCTTCATTGTGTCCTCCTCCTCAGCCACAACACAGAGGCTTGTCAGGGTGACTGAGCCTGCAGACACAGCACGGGGGCGTGGGGTCACGGTGCCCCAGAGTCCAGCAGGCAGGAGTGAGGCCCCTCTAGACCTCAGGTGCCCTTTGCTCTGTCCTCCATCCTCCGGTTATCCCTGTTCTGCAGACAGGTGCTTGGCTAATTCCTGCTGCCCTCCGACCGGTGGTCAGCTGACCCCTTTAGGTTGTCCAGGGCTGTGGGGCTTTCCGGAAGGGAACGAAGCCTGCCTGTGTCCCCGTGTCACTGCGGAGATCGGGACGGTCAGGGAGGGGACAGGAGGCACCCAGGCAGGTATGTCATGGCCCGTTGGCCCCACACCTCCATCTAGATCCACGATTTTGCCCAGCTGAGTGGAAACACATACCACGTGTACCATAACACGGCCGACCTGCGGGGGGAGCCCCACGCGCTGGCCATCCGAGGCGAGGACGATGTGCACGTGACCGAGGAGGTGTACAAAAGGCCGATCTTCCTGCAGCCCACCTACAGGTAGTCCGTGCCCAGGCCCCTG